ATTTTTCTTTGCTGTTGGCAGTGAATTCATGGAGATAGGTGTAGAGCGTCATTTAACATCAACAACGGGTCCGAATGTCTGCATAAATCTGTTTTGAAACTTCTCAATTTTGCCTTTTACTCAGGCTTCAACTTTTTGGTTGTTAATTGTGCAGTAGTGATTGTTAGAAAAATTTTCATTTATAGATCATAAAAATGGTCGGAATTATATCACCTAATCAATGAAGGAATATGTTACGAATTTATTACAGTAACGGATTTTGTCTTACATTTCAGCATATTCTGAAAAAAATTTTGTGAATCTTTGTTAATAATTTTTAGCACTTTTATAAATATTAAATTATTTTTTCCTTATTTCAAGTTGCTATAGAAACCTCAAATGCGGTCGTCTTCTGCACGACTACACGGATCCTCAGTGATTTTGTAGAGGGCAGGCAGGATTTCTGATGTGTTCATTCAACGCTAGATGAAGAAATTATGATATCTTTTACTTTAGGAAAAGCTTTTGCCTCCATTAAAGTGTATGATAAATTAAAACTTTACTTCTTCTGCTGATGTTGGGAGTTATTATGAGAAGAACACAATTTGTTGAATACGATAAAAAAGGTCGTTTTTATTGGAACCCAAAAAACATAATGAGACATATTTTATTGCTTTAGTCGGAAGTTGCATTTAATAAAAGCGTTTTCTGAGTTACTGTGCGAGGACTAGTTCTAGGTAGATTTTAAAGTAGTGAAACTGGAGAAAACTAGCGGTACAACTTTTTTTTTGTTTTTTGCTCTTAGTATTTTAGCTGTGCTCTTGTGCTTTGTCGCAACAAAAATATGAGTACAATATTTGACACACTAAACTAAACGCTCAGAAGAGTTTACTTGAGAAACAGTGGGTCTGTACAGTCTTTGATTCCAATGAAATTCGAATCGTTATTATGCAGATAAGTTATCTGAGTATAAGCAGTAATTCCTAGAATTATGAGGAATTGTCAGCTTTGTTGAGGACTATTTGTTAGATGGTAAAAACAGGACTAAAAAATAAAAAATATGTTTAAAAAAAGGTGAAAAAGTTTATTCACATATATGAGTTTTGATAGTATTTATTATTGTCAAGCGTATTGCTATATGAAATCTTGAGTATCTTTGGATTAAAGTTGCAAAAAATAAGTAATTTGCTAACAGCTGGTGTACAACAGTGAAATAAATTGCATATTTCTACTTTTGCTATTGTATGATTTTTGAAAAGTGGAGGTACACATCGAGTAAAATGACAACAACATGTGCGAGGATTAAGAAACGCTTTTTCATTTTAGATCAGTTCGAGTTTATTCTAGTGTTTATTACTTCAAGTATCGTTTTAGACAACACTTTTAAATTGGATTAGGCTCTAATAATTATGGATGTAGCAAAACGAGCTGCAGCATATGCAGCTAGTCGGGAATATATCAGAAGCGGTTGTCGACTTGGGGTTGGAACTGGAACTACGTCAAAATTTGTTGTTGAATATATCAAAGAACAAATTCAAAGTGGGACTCTAACGGACATTAAATGTGTGCCTTCGTCGTACATGACTCGTATGTGGTTAGTAGAAGCAGGAATAAACGTAACAAGTTTTGAAGAAACACCGGAATTAGACGTTTATATTGATGGGGCTGATGAGATCGACAATAATTTAAATTGCATAAAAGGTAGTGCACACGTTGCTGTTATGTAAAAGTTTTAGTGCGCAGTTCACAAACAGAAAATCTAAAAATTTGCTTTTTATGGGCGAAATTTTTTTTTTTATACTTAAAATTGGTAAACTTCACTATAATCTTGAATTTGCCGATTAAAAGTTTTAAAAATGCTGAAGATAATGCTATCACCAATTATATTATTCACACTTGGTTCTGCTTGACTTGATAAACTTCTTTCTAATTGAATATATATAAATTTGTTTAGGTGGATGTGGTTGTTTGGTTCGAGAAAGAATTGTTCAGTCAACCACAAAAAACTTTATTATAATTGTCGACAGCAGTAAATTGTCTAAGACGCTCGGTGAAAAATGTGCAACAGTACCAATTGAAGTTGTACCTTTCGGGTAACTGACACGTTTAAAATTTTTTTTTTCGTTTTATAAATGGACTTTTTTATTCCGCGATTTCGACCTTGTATTCTTAAGAATCAGCTATCTATTTATCAATCAAAAATACTTGTTTTATCTTAAATAACTGATTGCTGTTATCAAGTTTGATAGGAAATACGCCGGTCACCAGAACGTTTGACTGAGTCGGTAATTTCAGCTACGTTCCGGTGATGAACCGCATAATGAAACAAGAGGGCGGCACGTGTAGTCTTCGTATTTGTGACGTAAAAGGTGTTGAGAAGTTTGGCCCAGTAATAACGGACAACAACAACTATCTTCTTGACTGGCATTTTCCAAAAGGCAAATTTATCACCACTGATGATTTACTGAAACTACACGAACGAATCAGCTGTATTTCAGGTGTAGTTGATACTGGTTTTTTTATTGGTGTGGCCGATAAGGTATTTATTGGTTCAGCAGAAGGCTCTGTAACCGAAATTTTAGGATCTAGAAAACAGTAGCAGTGGTTGTTAATCTTTCAAATTTTTGTTTAATTTCCCCACTAAAACTGTTGTAAAGAAATTTTTTAGTCTAGATTTTAATTTTTTTTTTCTATTTTTACAGCATTTAAGAATTAATACAATAGCTACCAACACTAATGTTTGTAAAACTTGAAGCAAACAATATGTACTGTATCACAACGATTTCAATTAGCAGCACTAAATTATACAAATTTAACCTCATTCGTGTTTAATAAGCTAAAACTTTAACGCTGTTGAAGAAACCTAACTGACTGTTTGGTTTTTCTCCAATTCTTTTTGCCACTTCACTTTCAGTTACTTTTTTCTGCCTTTAGTTGACTACTCTGCTTGCAAAAGCATCCAAATATGGCACTGTTTTACGTTATCGGCTGCTGTAGAATGGGTTTGTGAAAAGTTCTAAAAACTGGTTTCAGGAAGGAGATGGGGTCAGGCAAAAAAGACAGTGTCGAAATTGCAGAGAGAAAATCGGAAGACATCAGAAATAGAAGGGGCAAAAAATTTTGATGACGAAAAAAGAAGAACAAAAAAAGTATCACAGAAAAAGGAAACATTTGCGTGACAAACCAGTAGAGATTCGAAAATTTCGACGAGAAAGAATCTATAATTACTGAATTTGTAGCTCATCACCTTCGTCTTTTTAAGGTCATGTTTCAAATAATCAATATCATCCATTTCTTTTGACTGCAGTTTGCAGGCTTCTGGTTACAAATGTTAACACTGCCGACTGTAGAACGATTTGCTGGGGACGTTGGAAGGATGGGTTGTATTTTCGATAGCGCATTAATGTAGTTGAGAAGTTTTACCTTGTCTTACATGAGAAATTGATTACTTCATGCAGCTCCTCATTTATTTGAAAATGTGGCTATTTTGTTTTCAATTTTATTTTTGTCTTTTTTTCTCGAACTTGTGTGGGAAACTGATAAGCCACGACAACAAGCAAAATCGGAATCCGAAACTCTCTAAAGTCCTGGTCCTAGTTTCTGTTTGTCTCATCCCCAGTCTGCCCAATTAAAAAAGACAGTTTATTGAAGAAACTGCTATTGGACTTGATGAAGCTGTTCTTTGAAGACTTAAATGGAATCGTGGAACAGCAACTGAGGAAGATCCTTTTTTCATATACACTGAAAAGGAAATTACAAATTGTTTTGTTCTACCTGTGGGAAAAAGAAAGCTCGGTACAATTCCAGTCATTGCAGAAAGGGGTTTGATTTTCAAGTCAGCAACTACGCCTATAAAATAATGTCAAAGTCTATCAAACGATTACTTAACTGCTCTGTTTGTTGCTCTCATTGCTATCAGTACCATAAAAGTCCGGATCCTAGTAACTATGAAGCAGTAGGAATTTATCTGGGGTCGCAAACAGAGTTATGTTCCGGAGGCAACATACCTTAATTCTCAAAACGAAAAATTTGGGTAAAAGCAACTTCAAGACCGGCGCACTGCGCCAACTTTGAAGTAAAATTAAAGTAGAAATACTGCAATGGAACATTCGTCATAAGGGTTCGGTACTGGCTTGCTATCTACTGGTTTATTTTTGTAAGATTTTGCAGAAGTATGCTATACGATCGTAAGAATGCAGGACAGTGTCATTTCTTTATGACTTCCTTTTTTTGACTTTACTTCTTTGGTAAGCATTCATCGTTACAACTGTTACTCAAAGTGGCACTTCTATCAGGATTACACGTTTTCATTTAAGAACACGGGACTGCAGAAGCGGGTATTTTTTATAGTGTAATGAGCTTGCAGCTTGAGTGAAGATGGTGATCGAGGGGAAAAGATTTTTTCGGAAGTTGATAAGGTAAAACAGTATGTGCCAAAATTTTGTCATGACTATTTTCAATGTAGCTTCATATTGACTGTGATATGCTACGCTATTAGCTTTGAGTTTTTTTATGTGCGGGTATTCTATCAGGATTTTTCGGCTCGATAGCACCAATTAATGTAATGGTTTAGTTGATTTACTGAGAAATGCTGTTGTTTATGAAAAATGGTGCATTGCAATTATACCTGTTTTTTAAACTGTTTTTAACATGATAATGTTTTTACTAAGACTGTTGTTTTTTGTGTTACTTTATTTAAACTTTTACAATGAACAGAAACCAAAAATTACTGTTGTTAATAAAAACTTGTTTGACAGAGCAGACTAAATGCTTTTTTTTTGGAACTGTACTTGGAACTGTACTTGGAATTTTTTTATGGAACTATTTTGTATTTCTTTTTCTCTCGACGACTACTGCAGTACTGGTGTAATGGTTTCTGTTCTGCTTTGTTATTTTAATACATCTGCAATTACTTTATACAGATGTAGTAACGGTAGTCTATGGTTGTATTTTTAAGTGGTTGACCGGAATTTCAATGAATTGACAATTCTAGGGCAAAATCTTCGAGGAAAATGTATGCTAATAGTAGTGTTTGTGATAGGATTAATTGCTGATAAAGACAAATAATTTTGTTTTGGACGTATAGCTCTGTTTTGTTGGTAAGTTAATGTTTTTTGGGGAAAAAAAAAGTTTTTTGGTTGTTGGCTTTTTATACAAATTTAATTACAATTTTTTTCTGTTAAACGTAATTTTTCTTGTTGGTTACGTTAATGGAATAAACTAAAGTTGATAAATTTATTTTGTTTAAATTGAAACCAAATTCGGTGCAACACAGAAAGAAAACAGGATTTCAATTATTAATTTTATAGAGTTTTTTCTGGTATATTTAAATTGTGTTACAGTTGAAAATGAAAAAAACTTGATCTCTGACATGTGATTAAATTGAAAGCTCACTGAATTGAAAGTCCAAAGTTTGTCAAAACTTCAGAAAGCTGAACTTCTCTTTTCACCTATTATGGCCAGCTTTGTTTTTAAGCCTAATTGCTTAATATACTGTTAATGGTATCAAAAAATGTTCAATTTCACTTTTTTTAAAAAGCTTTATCAGAAGTCTGATAACAGCAACGAAGTGATTCAGTTGATGAATATCTATCAGGTACTGAACAGGTATCAAAACTGAGTTAAAATTGTAACACAGAATGATGTTGGTGTATCTCTGTAAATCTTTTAATCTAATTGTTTCAAGTTAGTTACGCTTTATAAGGAACAAAAAAGAGGAGACTGAAAAAACTGATTGTTTCTTAACTGACGATAAATTTAACTGAAGTATTGAATTTTGACCATTATATTCACATGTTTCTGACGTGATGTTGCTGTTAAAAATTGTGGCCTTATTGATGGAACGGGTTTAATTGTCTTGAATTTACTGTGATTACAAAACTGCCAACTAGGCACTTTATAATGTCACTTGATCATGTTGAAGGTACAAAAAAAACTGATTTTTACTTTTGGGATCAAGAAAAAGCTGAATAAAGTAAACAGAAAAGACCTAATACAAGTGCAGGCTTTAGATTTTTGCATGAGCTCTCCAAAACAAAGAGTTTGCTGTCATTCTTGTTTAATGTTGGACAGAAGCAAAATATTATTTCTTCTTGGATTAACACTTATTAATCAGTTTAGGTCATGTGATCTTGTTGTTCCCCGTCATACAGTAAACATTTCTAAAATGTTCTGTTTTTCTTCGTCTTGAAATTGAAACGTCAATCTAACGATCACTATTTTGGGCGCTTATTGTAGCAAGGCAAAAAAAGGAAGGAAAGAAAAAAAAAACTTATGACATCAGTGTTATAAATTCTTTTGCATCTTTTACTATACTATTCTTTAGCTTTTTATTCAATTGTAGTATAACCAATAAACGCATAACTTAATTCCTCGTCACCGTTCTTCTTTTTTAAGTTTTTCTTACTTTTTTTTGAATATTAGAAAATTATTAAAATTAAATTTTAAAACTAATACATCAGTTTTTTGCAGGCGATCTTCTGAATGTTGAAAATTTTTTTTTTCTTTTGCCTCTTTCTTTGTCACTCAGAAATGTTAAAACAGTTGACGTGACTATTTACCCAGTCAGTTAATGAATTATTTTAAACATCTTGGGTCTCTGAAAATATGTAGAAGCAAAAAAGGCTTCTTCAAAATTGGGCACGTTGTGGTGCTTGAACATCGCTGATCTTGTTACCAATATAAAACTTACTGTTGTTATGTGACTGTGACTTTTGCCAGCAACAGTACTTGTGATTGGCTTTATGCATTTTCTTTTAAGAACAGTGTTCCATCGCTTTGGTAATGATGTTGTCACCGAAAAAATGCAGTTTTCAGAAGCGAGTTTCTCTAATTCAACGTTTCGTGTATTATTATTACAATCTTTGTAAGCTGTTTTTGTTTAATTTGTTCCCCCTTTTTTGTTCTTTCTGCTGGCAGAACAAAAAAACAATCCGAATTATTCCCCGCTTGTTTTTTTCCTTATTATCAATTTCTAGCCTTGTTTTTTCAATGTACTCATTGATTGGAAACTAAATTGACAAGGCTTTTCTTAATTGTATTTAAGGCAGCAGTAATAACGCTCTACTGATTCTCCTGTCACTTAGTCAGTAGTACCGATTGTTTAGAGAAAAAACTTGATTCTGTTTCATCTCTACGTTTTTAGTTTTAATCTATACAGTATTTCTACTTTTTTTCTCTGTATGATTCTTGTTTGTTACATTATAAATTAGTATGGGTCTTGTTCTGGATGTCGTTAAAAAAATTTTAAGCAGTTTACTACTCAAGGCTTCTTTTCAGGGAGATGCGTTGCTTGTTTCTGGTTTACTTGCTGAGTTTGATCAGTAAGCTGCCTATAATTGGTTTTTTTTTCTTTCAAAACTTCAAGATTCTTGCTGAATTTTGTAGCTGGTGCTTTTCTTATTGTAATGTTTTAATGAAACATTGTAGTCTTAGCTTTCAGAAATTTAGTATGAATTTTGTAAATTCAATCTTTTGTATCTATGACTGGCTCATTATGGGTCGGCATGCTTTTTTTTTTGTCAATACATTGATACGATAACAAACTACAATATGAAATTAATTGCAGTAGTGGTTCGCTCGGTAACGCTGCGTGATGCATTTTTGATGAGCGAAAGCGCGAGGGACGAAGTTAAGGAAAAGCATAAAAAGTTTGCATTTACAGGTTAGTTACACTGAAATCTTATTTAGTACTTTTGAGTGAGAAACTGATTTTTTCTACTGCGGAAACAGTCGTGGAGAGTACATTTGCAGGCTCTTAAATTTAGTTATTACGATTCTGTAGGAATAAACAGACGATAATAATGATTTTTAAAGAAAACAGTTTAGTTTGAGCAGCAAACTGTTAACGTCAGTTTGGCTTTTAGATCTTCGTTCCTACTATGATCCAGAATTTTTTGTTTATCAAAGGAAAATTGGTTTTGTCACGCAACCACCAGACGGAATTATTGACGAATTAACAAAGTAGGAAAGCTTTTCATCACTTTTGACGACGCTCAATTAGCACATGACAAGTGAGTTTTCTCAGCCGATATCAATGATCTACGATAATGGTAGTGAACGATGGATGCGACATAGCAAAATCAATTTGCGAAAAGAAAAAAAAAAACTTATATGGTTTGTTTAAATTTGTGTTGTCAGAATTACCTTCTGCAATTGGTGTATTGATCGCTTTTTACAGACTGCTGTTGTTAACAGTGTAAAAGAGAAACTGACGATTTTTTCAAGGGAAAATAATGACTAAAATACTTTACTGTTGTTTTCACTTCTGAGTCTCAATCTTTTTTTTTTTTTTGAAGTTGATCTATTAACAGCGTCTCTAATTAAACGCTGTTCATTTGAATTTTCTCGTTTTTTTTTTTTT